GTTTCCAGCTGATGAAAACTTTAGAGAATACAATTCAGTTGTCTTCTCCCAGACTCACTCTTATGTTTTTGTAGTACTGTGGACATGTAGTATAGTGTCCTGTTCACATTTTAATGTTACATTTATTTCCTGATTTTTTTCCTTTTTGGGTATCATGTCTTAATTCTTTTTCTACCTCTACCTACCACTATGTACAGTGCCTAGCATGTGGAAGTCATAGCATAAACACATGTTAATGAAATAAGTAAAATTTGACTCCAGTTTAGATGTTTTATGAAGTTTCTATAATAGATTTTCATGTTATTAATGACCTGGTAGACTTATGGATCTGATTTAACTTAATAGGATTTTGAAAACAACTTATTACAAATAAGGGTTTCTTTGTAAAGGTTTAAAGTATTTGCAATATTGAGAAATAGACAAAGTATTTTTTATCCTCTCTTCTCCATCAAGTGACTTGGAGAATGAGATTGAGAATAAGAAGGCCCAGATATTAAATCTTCAGCAACATTCGTCTACCCTTGAAAAGGATATTAAACGAAATGAAGAACTCCTTAGAAGGTGCCAGCTACATTATAAAGAGTTAAAGGTAAAAAAATAAATGTTTCTTCCTTAACTTATCATTTCCAAGTTAATGTTAAGACCCTGACATTCACTTTGAATAGTAGTTGTCAAACATTTTGGTCTCAAGCCCCTTTATAAAAGAACTTTCATTTATGAGGGTTATGTTTGTCAATATTTACTTTTAAAAATTAAAACAAAGTTTAAGAATATTTATTAATGCACTTTAAAAATAATAATAAGCTTGTGTTAACATAATTAACTTTTTATGAAAAATGTATCTTCTAAAACCAAAAAACTGTAATGAGAAGATTGACGTTTTTATATTTTTGTAAATCGCTAATGTCTGGTTTAATAAAATTCAGCTGAATAGTTATATCAGCTTTTGCATTTAGTCTGTTGCAGTATTATGCATCATATAGTTATAAACATCCTGCACACTTGTGAGAAAATGCTAGTAAAAATGGCACATAACATCTTAGTTTTTATGAAAATAGCTTTGACCTTATGGGTCCCCTAGGGGTTACTTGAATCATACTTTGAGAACTACTGGATTAGAGTAATCTTTCTATCACTTGAGACTTTGGATATTTCAGAAAGATATTTTCTGTATGGACTCAACAGTGTCATGATTTTAAATGCTAAGATAGGTTATGTACTTAACACCTTTTTTGCAAAGGAAATGAGTTAGCAGTACAGTGATCAAGGTAGAATTTATATATAACTTGCTTCTGCTCACTTAATACTAATGTACCCCTTTAATTATGTAATCCTTCTGTATCATAAAGCATAGTAGAACTTTGTGAACTAATACATTCTGTCCAAGGTTTTTGGTTTTTATTTGTTATATTACTAAAATCTAAATCCTTTTTTTTTTCAGGTGAAAATAAGAAAAAGTATTTCTGAAATTCGGGAACTTGAGAATATAGAAGAGCATCAGTCTGTAGATATTGCAACCTTGGTAAAGTGCTTTTCTTCAATTTAAATGTAATGTTAAAAGATAAAACTGTCTTTTAGGTTAATGGTATCAATTCTTAGCTCTTTCCTAAAATCCTTTTAATTGAAGTTTCTCTTTATAATTCCCATCTCCATTTACAAATAAGGTAGAAACCACTTGGTGTATAACCTTCACGTTTTTTAATGTTTGATGTACATAACTTGCATGCATAATAATTGACTTTGTCTTCTACCACATGAAATAAAACTTTATTAGAACTTAATCGTGATTCTAAGCAGTGGGCCATCAAACCAAACTGTTGAGCAGTTTTTCACATAGGCACTCTCAGAGTTAATCAGTATCAATATGAATGGACACATGTCAGGATCATCTTTTAGTCAGTTTTTGTTGGTCTTGTTGCATTGTTTTCTTTTTTTCCAAGTTAATGGTTTTCATTTTAAATCACTACATAATTGTCACTCTGTTTTTCTCAGGCATCTATTTATGACATTCAGCTTAGCTTTTTCTGAGTTGCAGTAAACAGTACATTAGATAAATTGTAGTCTTGTTAAAATTAATGTTTATTGAGTGTCTGCTCTGTATCAGGCAGCATATTAAGTACAAAACAGAAAAAGTCCCTGTACTGATGAAACTTTACTTTGAGAATTTGTCTTCCTGTTTTACTGTAGTCTTGTTTTCAGGTTTTTATTTTCTGCTTTAGTTCCTTTTATTGGTAGACTAAATTTCTTAAAATTATGGATTGTGTCTTATTTATTTTTGTTTACTTAGCATCTAACACATTGTCTGCCACAAGGTGTATATTAACATACTCTAAGAATATTTGGGGGAAAAAAATGAGTAGATAGAATAAAAGTTTTTCCTTTTGATTGTGATCTCAAGCGGAATATTACTTAACTTGTCTCCTAAATGTCATCCCTTCTTATTTTTAACCTGTTTTCTTCTACTTCCTAATTTACCATAAAGGTATGAAAATACTCTAGTGTTCTTTGTATTGTCTTTGATCTGATTTACCTATAGCCTGTGATTTCTTCTCTCTCAGAATTGTATACATTTTTTCCTACTTGATAACTTAAGTATTTTAATTAACTCTGTGTGCTGTTTAAATGTTTTCAGGAAGATGAAGCCCAAGAAAATAAAAGTAAAATGAAAATGGTTGAGAAAAATATGGAGCAACAAAAAGAAAATATGGAGCATCTTAAAAGTCTGAAGATAGAAGCAGAAAACAAGTATGATGCAATTAAACTGAAAATTAATCAACTGTCAGAGCTAGCAGATCCACTTAAGGTGTATATTGTTCTTATTTTATTGCATATGTATTTTATGTTTTAGTTTTATGTCTTGTTGGATATTGCCCTAAAAGAACTTTTGGTTAAGTGTAAATACGAGTATAACCACATAAAAATGGAATGCAAAGAATGATAGGAACCAAATTTTCATCATTAGAGCAGTATTTCTTCTGCTAATGCCTTTAAGAGAATAAATCACTGAATTTTTTTCCCATAGAGGATGACAGCTTTTTTGCCCTCTTTATTTTGTGATTTTTTTTTTTCCAGAATCAGATACAGGGACATCTTGTACATCTATACTGTTTCTGTGCTTGCCTGTTCTGTTTTCCCACCCTTCCTTCAGCAACTCAAGATGTTGCTATAAAAGCCAATGTGAAATAAAGTGCTACCCAACTCCTGTTTCTCAGCATATCAGTTATATTCCAGGCTGAATACAGTTTTTCAATTGCTTCTGTCTATATTAGCATCTTAACCTATTATTTATTTACTTAATTCACTTTTTTTTTTTTTTTTTTTTTTTTTTTTTTTTTTCCTT